CCATTCACTGACACATCGTACTGCTCTGCTTTGCAGGAGATTTTGATCTGAATTGCACATACAAAACTGACAGTAAGATGCTTGCACTGATGTCACAAACAAACGTCTTGAACATCTTAAAGAGACAGCTCCCCCCAAAATTTTAATTCTGTCATCATTTACTTGCCCTTGTGTCATTCACAACCCATTAGCAAGCCTAATTTGAAAATGATTGAATAATTTTTTGTCCATTCAAATGTGCAAAAATCTATTACTGTCATACTGGACACTGTCCATTTAAATAGAAAAGGTATCTACATGTCAGTATGCCAGCCTACCTCAAAGAACTCTCCATTTTTAAAAGGGATGTCTTGACTCTTTTCTTCTGCCCCCCAAACCCCGTCCTGCCAGGTATTGCGGACAACTGCATTCTCCTCAAAACAGCATAGGTAGTGAAATGCAACCCCATATCTGTGGCGCAGATTAATCTCCATCCTAATGAAGAATGGAACAGAAGAGTGGATATGTTCTCATAAACATAAACTGTTTATAATAGTATTTGTACATTTACAACAAAAAATTAATACAAATAAAAATGCTTGTGATGTATGTCAGAAAGAAAGGATTTTTTCTGACCTTTTACAGTCGGAGTTAACAATTCCATAAATGACAATGATTTTGCCAGGCTTTAGTCCATCAACCACTTCTTTTTTGTACGATGTCACCTGATTGCAGGAAAAAATTATGAAAGTGTAAAAAGAATGTTTATGAAATTGTAAAATATAGGAAAGTATATAAAATATTAATCATGTTGAATGTTATGCTTAATAGTGGTAGTATATTTTTATTCTAACCGCAAGATTCAGATGGCCAATGAAATCCAGCTCCATTCCCTCCACTAAGATGGTGTTCATTTGAGTGAATGGAATATGGTGATTATAGATCATTAAGTCTTCCCCATTGGCACTTATCTATGGAGAGTCATTGTATAATAAGCAAAACAGTGGAAATCAATCATTGTTTTCATTCAGCTAGTACAGAAACAGAACAGTAGTGTACTAAATAAAGATTGTTGCCTGTAATTTATGGCTAGAAAGTTAAATATATATACAATATATATCTATTTGTCTTTCAGTTACATCTATACAAACGGCACAACGTAGAAATAATTTTGTACTGTAATGTAAACATGGACATAGCATACTGCAGTGAATAATGAACAGCTGAGAGGCAAACATGCACTTATTGTATAATGCTACCTGTTGTTAGTGTTTAAGTGCATTATTTTATGAGTGACAAAGTGTGTTTGTTGAGTGACAGCTTTTGCTAGTTTATGGAAGAATGAGTTGATTTAAGGTATGTGTGAAGTGTTTTTGTAGTTTTAATGCATTTTGTATGTGAAATTTACTGCTGTGCCAAGATGGAATTTGGTAAATAGAATTAAAGTGACCAAATTGAGAAAGGTTTCCTAGCAATTGTGAAGAAAAAACTAAACAGTAAACTGGCAAAAGACCTGCCATAGTAATGAAAGAGGAGTCATAATCTTACCTGCCAGTCATGTTTGGAGCTTGACTGAATGTCATTTTGGGTAATTTTACAGCCAAATAAATGGCTTTTAAATAATTTATACCTTATATGCCTGTGTGGTGACAAGGATCTTGATGGTGAACAGTTGACCTCGGAGGAGAGGAGACTTAGAAGTGGGTTGATCGGAGTCCCATCTATCGTTTTGGAAGGTCTTGTACACTATATGTGGGTGGTCATTCTCAAAGTGTGGGCTAATGCACAGAGCAGTTCTAACAGCGGGATGAGAACCATCCTTAAGGTTGATATTTGATCTGCAGAACACAATGAAAACTGTATACAAAACTAGCAATGTCCATGGTAATGTTCCTTTAAATAAGACAAAGACACTAAGATTAATTCGTCCTTTTAGATCAGGGCTGTCCAAACTCGGTCCTGGAGGGCCGGTGTC